CCCCCGGGGGGGGGGGGGGGATACCACTCGCGTTTTGCATGCCTTACATGTTAAACCATTGACTACGAGAGGGCGGAGCACTGCTCCCACGGGTCGGACCACCGATGGCCAATAGTTCTTTGCTGCTTTTCTCAAAAGGTGTGGTAGACGGGGGTTTCATAGTTTGCGTGAGAGAGTGGTACGCCAACATTGAGCAACAGCCCGAGCATGAACGAAGAAAAGTTGCAACGTTGCCTTCCTTTAAGAGACGCCCCCTCCCGCCCGTCAAACCGCGAAGTAGATATTACAGAGAAGACCACGCCCCCCCCTACCAAACTACAAATAACCCCCCCCAAAAGTCCACAGAAGATCGGGAACGGGCTTGAAGCGGCTGCAGGATGCGGTGGCGTGAAACAGGGCCGTCCCGGATGCGGTCGGAAACAGGCCTCAACCCTTGCGTGACTTGAGTTAATCTGACTTTCGGTTTTGCCTCCCCCTCGAAAACTGGATCTTGGAAAGATAAATGCTCAACGTCATGTGTGCACGCAACTGCGAAGGCACACAAATGCGTGTGTTGCATCTTGCCGCAGACAAAGCAATCGGAACGGCAACTGGAAATGTCACGTAAGGGTTAGCTCATCACCTTCGCGTCTTGTCCCTTGCTGCGCTGTCGGCCAGCCTCTCCTCGTGCAGCTCCAGAGGCGAGAGTCCCCGAGAAACGGGTTCTCCCAGCGTAAGGGGTAGGCCGCTGAGGTTGCGCACCCAGAAGCCAGCGTACACCGTCACGAGAACCGAATTCATCTGCGGCGGCGCGAAGGTACCGTAATTTGGTGACGTACCGTGAGTTATTTCAGCGGAAACTTGACCGTTGGGCGGGGGGGCAGAGCGCAGCCGGCTTTTCGATGTCGTCGGTGCCTTGACAGCATTCACGTTTTCTCACGAAGGCCTACTCTGCCAACCTGAAGGCGAGGGAGCCTAAGCTTCGCACGGTTTGCTTAGGCTCCGTAGTACCGAGGCTCGAAAAATTAGCATTAAAGTCGAGATCCGTTTGGCGGGAGAAACAAGTTGCCTTGTCTGGGTTTCCAGCAGAGAGGCGGTCTTTCTTGTTTAAAGTCAATTTACAGTCAGGGAATCGGAATTCGAAATCGAAACCTTTGTTTCGCACGGCAAACACATTTCCTTACCCTTACTATACTGAAACGTCCTAGGCGGAAGTCTTCTCGAAGTCAGAAGCTCAAATATTCAACATCATAAATAGTCATGTGTGATTCTCGGCAAACAGCCGATTCTGAACGCACTGCAACGACCCAAGCGACGTGACTCAGACAGCTAGCTGCTTGTATGGCAAAACGGCAACACGTACGATGGACAATGCATGGTTTTCTAGGGGGTATATTGTATTGGTTGCGGAGGTGGTCCCGCTGGTACGACCACTGACTGTTGTCCGACGTGAACCGATGAACTTGCTCGGCTGGCGGTTCCTCACCCGGACAGAAGCCGCCTCGACGCTGAGGTACAGTATCTGGTTGCTCATGTTGCGGCAGGGGACGCTCTGCAGGCTTATCCCCGGCACGTGTTCGCTGGTCGTCGAGACACCGCCGCCGGGGAGTTCCCGGCCCCGGCTGCTGCTGCTGCTGCCGCCGCCGCCGCCGTCAGAGCCGGTGGAACCTTCCCTTGTCGGCCGCATGAGCTCAGCAACGGCCACCTGGTGAGGGGAAGTCCAGTCGAACCCGGCGACCTGCGGAGACAAGAAGACACACGACCAAGCCTCGAAAGTCTGTTCTCGTGGAATACCATGGGAAAACACTAACAAGGCAACGCCTCCCCCCCAAAGCAAGGCTCGTTCCCGTTTCCGAAGCTCCGGGTATATAGACTTTTCACAGCGCAAACATAGTAGTCGATCCGGACATTGTTCTTGGTTCTTGCTCCTTGTACATTCACTGGATTCCGAAGTTGGTGACCGAGTTTTCATGCTGGTACGGCTTCTGCCAACTCCAGGCGACACGCGAGTGCTAAGCGCAAAAACCCGGCAATAATACATCCGTGCCAAGGGTAGGAGGTTCACGCCACCTATACGGTTCACCCACCCCCTAGAGGACCAACGACCGACCGCTGTACACCCTTAGCTGGAACAAAGCAACTCGGGGTAGTTGAGAATATTCCAGCCTCTTTGAGAATGAGCTGATCTTTGACTGACTCCCTTCAGCGCGACGCCAGCTTTCCATTTTTTTGGGAGCCCATTATTGACTTTTGATTGAAAAAAATATATATCACAAGAAAAACAGTGCTCGACACACCTTCAACGACAGCGAAGGTGCCATGGCCATCGTGTTCGCCTCCAGCACGTGGACCCCGTCCCCGGGCGCCAACCACCCCTCCGCCAGCCTCGCACCCGCGTCACCCCTTGCGCCGGCTACCCTCCACCCAACGCCAACGGGCAGAAGGTTTCGAAAACTGAGGGAGGCGTACACGACCACCTCCAGGGGCCGCAAGGACAACGCCGCCATCGAGATTCCGGCCGAGCGGGGCGAGTCAACCACCCGGGTAGGAAACGCCGCGTCGGGGCGCTGCCGCTGCCGCCCATGAAGTGTCGAGTTTGCCACCACCCTGCCGCTGCTTCTACCGCCGCCGTCTCGACTTCTGCGCCTGGTTCTCGACCAGGGGTTTGATGAGGCGTTCTGGCGGCTTCCTCCTCCGGGGATGGCGGCGCCGTGTCTCCCCCCGTCCGGATCGTTCGCGTCAAGCCCCTCCAGGAACAGGAAGAGGGGCTTGCGGCTTGCGTTTGTGTCGCCATCGGCGGGGGAGTTGGCTGAAGGTTGGGACGGATTGCAGGCCACCCAGGGGATGACTGCCGTCGTGGCCCCGAGCTCGCCTTCTCCAGCCCTGCGAAAAACGCGCAGACACGACCGGCCCACAAGGGTTAAGAAAACATTGCAATAGCATGCCATTCCATGGAGGAGTCGGACAACACGAGGGGGGTACTGTTGACTACAAAGACACCCCCACGACTCCCTGCCCCTGAATGGCCACGACCAAGCTACTACAACGGGTTTCTTCCGAAGAGGCATAAAAAGGCGCTCTTCTGACACCATCACAATCGCGGCGGTAAACTGCTAACCTTGCCGCCGGCACCAGCACGGAGCAGTCGCTGTACTCGTACGATCTCTCTCCCTGATCCCCCGATCCCTCCGCTAGATCGTGAATTTGCACGACTTTCTTGGGCATGCTAGTGTTGGAGGGTGAAGAAGAGCGGCTGCCGTCCCCGAACCCGCCGCCCTGGCTCCACGGCCAGGGGCGAAGCCTGATGTCTTCCGCACGGCTCCACCTCAGCGGTAAGGGCAGACGGCCCCCGGGAGCAACCTGCGGCATGTACATACGTCACCAGGTAACAGCGTGCCATGACGTCACGCGTGGCTGCCACCGGGAAGAAACTAACCGCGGACCAAGTCGCTTCGACGCATAATTCATGTTTTTTTTAGGGAAATTTCCACATGGTCAATAATCCATGGAAATGGCATGCGTCCATCGTCGAATGCGTATCTCCAGATCACCAGCAACAACAGCAACAACAACAATAGCACGCACCGCTCCCACGACCTCCTCTTTCGCGTTGTCCCCGTCCCCCCTGCCGGCGGCAAACGAATCCGTGGAGCACCGAACTTCCAGCCAAGACCCGCACTTGTTCACGACCTCGAGTGCCGACCGCAGGGTCACCGTGTGGCGACCGTTCTCCAGGCAAACCTCCCAAATCGCGTCACACCTAAAACACGACCAATTTTGGGACAGTTCGGCAAGCACGAGGCTCGGATTGCGCGAAAATGCAGGCCACTGTGGAGCAGGCAGAGCCTGCTGGGTGGGTGGGTTGGATTTTCGGCTAGCCAGTGCTGAACCCGTAAAACGATTCGATTTTCGGCTGCTAAACGGCCTGTCGTGTGTATTCCTCGAACGACGTTGTACAGTCCGTGGGAGAGTTTTTCCCCGACCATTTTCAATCGCTGGGAGCGGGCTCAGCGCCGGCGGAAAAGAACCCTTCGTCGAGGCCCCCCCTGCCGCCGCAGGAGGCCTCGCCAAATGCAATACTTCCATCCAACCATCTGCGCTGAGAATGACAATGCACTGCCAGGAAGTACTCTCCTCCGACCCCTTTCCAACCATCGATCACCCTTACGAACTCGTTAAGCATGTGAACATCGGGGTACGTGCATAAACATCCCCCGATGTCGACGAGTGCTGTTGACGCTTGATTTCGCCACCAAGAGGCGTGCGTTAATGCCGTCAATGTGTCCGCACCTGCTGAGCCGTCTCGGCGACTGCCCCCTGTCCCCGGCCGCTTTTCGTCCGGGCACGCCTTCCATGACAAGCATGCATTGCAAGAAGCTACGTCCCACCTCAGTGAGGGGGAGGTTCAAGAACCGCTGCCCCTCGTCGTCGTCGCCTCCAACCCCGGAAACCTCTGCAAGAAAAACAAAAAACATGAGCGGGTGCATGAAAGAGTAGTGTTACATACGCGGTCCTTCCATGGTCCTGAGGTTTTACGAAGGGATGCACGGCATGTACTATCGCATGGCGTTTGTTCCATTGACACCAACTTCGCACAATATGCACAAAAAAAGTATGTATGTGAACCTCAGAACCTAGCTCGGGTTCCTATCATAGGCGACCGCCGGCCGGTCTCTTCTGCGTGGCACGTAAGGAGGCAAGCCCTTGCAGTAGACCACGTGCAACAGGACTCCCCCAGAAAAAAAAAAACAACTCTGGGCGGAGGGAGGTCCTTCTTTTTCAGGGACAAAAAAAAAAAAAAAATGTCTCCCTTGTTCAGAATAATAACAAAAAATCCGGCGCTGAATTCAAATTACTAATTTGTTTTTCAGAAAGGGGCACAACGTTATGGTTCTTCTCCCTCATCCCCCGAACCCCCCTTCCGCCGGACATCGGCGAGAGGTAGCAACCGAAAGGCCGCGCGAGCGAGGACACCCTCATGCTCTTGAGAAAATGATGCAACTCACGCCCTGAAGACGCTATATAGCCATGACGATCCACGTACCACTGAATAAGGGGTGATCAATGAGCGACCATCAACTAATTCGACGTCACAGCACCCAATTCTTGCATCACGGCACCAACTGGTTCATCACTGCATCTTCCCAGGAACAGCAACCCGTTCCGTGAACCGCGTACCGTAACGTGCGGGGAATATCTACCATGATTTCGGTTCTGCTGCTGCTGTAAACGCATGCCACACACAAGTGATTCCTCCGGAGTGGGCTCATGAGAGCACAACAGGGTCATCAAGGGAGAAGATGCGAGATGAAAACAAATGCAGTAGGAGCGCCAGCCCACAACTAGCTGCTAGTCGTGATGTTTCGTAAGCTCAACAGTCCACACAGCACCCGACGTGTGACTGAAACTCGGACAGCCCAGCGAAAAAATGCACATCTCTGTTTTCACTCTTCTAATATATACCTGGTGGGTCCTCCGCACCCGCCTGCGGCCCATCAGACGGACTCTGGGCGGTGACCAGGCGAACAGACAGCAACCAAGACGCGTGGCGCCTGTTCCTTCTCCCAGGCTGCTGCAACTGCCCCTCCGCCGAGCTGGAGGTACTGAAGGGCTGGTCTGACATGCCCCCCACCACAGTGCCCCGTTTTCCGAATCGAGACACACTGGACAAAAAAAGGGGGGGGGGGGGGGGGGGG